CTGGCTCCTCTGCAATTTGCCCCAGCTCTATACAGCCCACTCCTTCAGTTAGGCGCTGCCACGCGCGCGACCTCGCTGGGGCTCCCCCACTCTTCCTCTGCAACGGCTGGGGCGCTGGTCCTCTTCGGCTTTTCTCACCTACATCAGGCCAGATGCGACCGCTTATCATGGCAGCACAACGTCTACCGGCTTCCTCGTAAGCTCCAGCAAAGCAAGTAAGCAATAAGATTCTGGTGGCGCACGCACTTTCCTCAAACGCTTTCAAAGATTCCTTGCTTCAGCGTCTGGGCTGAATATGAGCGTGCGCGCATCATATTCTCAGTTCGCTCAAAGATTCCTCTGCTGCATGGGCTGGTTCTCTGAACATGCGCGTGCGCGCGCATGCGCGCAATGGTTCTCGGATGGTCTGAACATGCGCGTGAGCGCATGTTCTCAAAGATTCCTCTGCTGCGGCTGGCGCTGAACATGCGCGTTGAGTTCTCTGTTCGCTCAAAGATTCCTTGCGCGGCTGGTCTGCGCATGCGCTTGTGCGCATGCTTCTCAGTTCGCTCAAAGACTCCTCTGCTGCGGCTGGCTGAGCATGCGCGTGCGCGCATGCTCTCAGTTCGCTCAAAGATTCCTCTGCTGCGGCTGGCTGAGCATGCGCGTGCGCGCATGCTCTCAGTTCGCTCAAAGATTCCTCTGCTACAGCGGCTGGCTGAACATCCTTTTTGGGGATCATGCACGCGAGCAAGCGCCGTGCGCAACAGCATCCCGCCCGGGCCTAGGGCGCCAAACATGCTCAATCAATTAACATGCTTAAATCTAATAAATCTAATGCGTTTCCTCATGGGTCTCTCCAAGGTGAAATGGAGCTTTCGCGAAAGTTCACCGTGGTAGACCCGGCTGCTGCTGCCAGGCCACAGGCTGCTCTTCCTCGACTCATCAATACCAGCAACGCCCACACCCAGTCAACCAATAACCACCAGGACAGCAAGTTAAAAGCCGGAGACGCCCATTTCCCGGTCTTCTGAAGTCTGCAAGCCGCCGCCGCCCCAACCTCCTCCTTCTCTCATGAAGCGTGCTTGCCTACTGCCTCTGCCGTCACCAGTGCCTAGGCCCCGGGGGGATCATGCACGCGAGCAAGCGCCGTGCGCAACAGCATCCCGCCCGGGCCTAGGGCGCCAAACATGCTCAATCAATTAACATGCTTAAATCTAATAAATCTAATGCGTTTCCTCATGGGTCTCTCCAAGGTGAATTGGTTTTCTGAAGGCCAAGCTACTGGCACCGCGGCGAATGCTGATTGGACGGTCTCCATTCCTCCATGCTGTATAATATCACTTGCATTCTGTAACATCATTGTTTGTGCTGTCTACCATTGAAAATAAAACATGTCTTCTGTCTGAATTAAAGACTGGATCCTCAGACGATTGTCATTTTTTCAAGTCTAAAGCAGAGATGTGAATGTTGACCATCCACTCTCTCCACACTCTTGCTCTCCGAGGCTTTTAGGAACACTGCTGATGCGTACTCTCTCGTAGTGACTTAGGGCAATAAAAAAAGGAATAAAATGGAATACCTACAGTTATATTGACAGTGTAACAGTATTGTCAACGTTAAGGCTTTTGCACATCCACAGTTGTCCTGGTAAAACATTAGTTAGACATGTGTTAGGAATCAGCCAAAGTCTGGGATCGTGTCTTTAATTTAGACAGAAGACATGTTTTATTGTCAATGGTAGAGACAGCACAAAGTGCACACAAACAAGGGATGTACAGACAGAAAGTGATAATATACTCAGGAGAAACAGAGACCTCCAGTCAGCAGCTGCCACGGTGTGCTTGTAGCTTGGCCTTCAGATAGACAAAAAAAGTAGTGGAAAAGTACAGGCTTCTGCATATGTAAGAATGAAGTTAGAACTTTAACCATAGTTGCTTAAAAGTGTTATGAAATCACTACACATGTTTATATTGCTCCACTTGGATGATCAGCCGTATAGTCCATTATGATGCGATTCCTGGGGTTCTGAGTACACTTGATAATATTTTGAAAGTCTGAGGTTTATTTTTACCCTTTTATTTTTACATGTTCCGGGCCTTCCCTGTGGTGAAATGTTGTCATGGTTCCAAACAACATGCCAACCTTTCCCACAGCTGTCCTGAGTCAACACCACAACCTTAACCACAATATCCTTGTCACTAATATCTGAAGAAAATTACAAAATGTGTTGATTTCTCCTCCTTGGCTGAATTCATTTTTGTGTTGAGGCGTGAATTCTTCTTTGAGGTGTGTCGATCCAGAAGGTCCCGCTTTGGTGTCTATATTCAGAAATCCAATTCGGACCAAATTCTTTCCACGCTAAGAGGACGACGGTATTGTCCATTTCTCAGCAGCATTAGCAGGTCTGATTTGATTCTGGCTGTCCAGAATGTGCTGATTCCAGATGCATGATTTCTCTCTTTAAAAATTGAGTAAGCCAAAAAAAAGTCTTGTGGACTGAAGAACAACGGAAGAAACTGACAAACAATGCGGAGGTCTCTGGCAGAAGAAGAATCAAAGTCCTCCTCCTCTTAGCATCTGCAACGGCGCCAGTAGCTTCGACATTCAGATCACTAAAACATCAAGTGGAATATCACTGGCTTCTTTATACTGTGACAATGTCAAGCAAAAGTGTTTAGGTTTAGGTCTTACCTTGAAGACAGGAAGTACTTTGTGGAGATTGGAAACTGTGTCTCAGATCATATGGCCCTGACCTGTGGAGTACCACAGGGGTCGATCCTGGGACCTCTTCTGTTCAATCTCTACATGCTGCCGTTAGGTCAGTTAATACGCAGAAACAAAGTGTCCTATCACAACTATGCAGACGACACTCAGATCTATGTCTCACTGACTGCAGGAGAACATGGACCAGTGGACTCACTCCTTCACTGTATCCAACAGATCAGTGAGTGGATGCAAAACAACTTCCTTCAGCTAAACGCAGACAAAACTGAAATGATTGTCTTTGGTCCCCAGAAACAAAGAGAGAGCGTCATCTGTCACCTACTGTCTCTCTCCCTAAAAACCTCAGAAATCTAGGGGTAATACTGGACTCAGACCTAAATTTTAATAGCCACATCAAATCAGTAACATCAGCAGCTTTTTACCATCTAAAAAACATTGCCAGGATCAAAAACATAGTGTCTAAAGCAGACCTGGAGATTCTTATCCATGCATTTGTCTCCAGTAGGTTAGACTACTGCAATGGCCTGCTCACAGGTCTGTCCAAACAGGCTGTAAAACAGCTGCAGTACATTCAAAATGCAGCAGCTCGAGTCCTGACTAGAACCAGGAAGTACGACCACATTAGTCCGGTCCTCAGGTCTCTGCACTGGCTTCCTGTGGCTCAGAGAATAGACTTTAAAACAGCTCTGCTTGTGTACAAGTCTCTCCATGGCCTCGCACCAAAATATATTAGTGACATGTTAGTCCCATATGAACCAGCCCGGACTCTGAGGAGCACAGGGACTGGACTCCTGTTAGTGCCCAGAGTCAGAACTAAACATGGGGAGGCTGCTTTTCAGATTCATGCTGCTAAAATCTGGAACAGTCTTCTTGAAGATGTGAGACAGGCCTCCTCTCTGACAATGTTTAAAACCAGGTTAAAGACAGTTCTGTTTAGCTGTGCATACAACTGAGGGATTTTGTATCTTTCTCTTTCTTTTTAATGTTCTGTGATTATTTATGATTTTAATGCTTTCTTGTTTTGTTCAGCACTTTGAGTTGCCTTGTGTATAAATTGTGCTATACAAATAAACTTGCCTTGCCTAAATGTGTGAACATCAGAATGGATTAAAAGATGGATTGATATTTCTTTGTCACATACAACGGTAACAACACGGTCAATAACATGTAGTGAAACGACTTTAGTAACCAATACATCTGTCTTTTTGAACAAATAACATCATAATAACTCAATACTTCAGAAAATCAGAATACTTGAAAAAAACACCATAAAACTCAGACAACATGCACATATCTTTCATAAAAATCATCAAAAATCTTTAGAAAAATACCAAAATTCATTAGTCCATTAGGTGTTGTTCACATATAGCTTTGAAAACAGTCTCTCCTACTTTCAGACTACTACGATTTGTTCTTCAGGCTGAATTTTATTTCGAGTTGTGAATTTATGGGAATTAGATAGCTACAAGTGATTGTGTGTCTGCTACGATTGTGTATCCGTGTTAAATGTTCTTTCGCTTTCTCTGGATGACACGTATGTTTTTCCACGTGTGACGTATGTGTGACGTAAACGTTGACGACATAGAGCTTGTCCTGACTTTGTTCTGTCTGAAAAAACCTGAAAAAAACCCTGAAAAAACTGAGAGAAAATGAGAATAAACTTCCAGGTGGCTCTGGTGCGTAAAGATCCCGTCTCTTTGAGGTTGATTTTCCACAAATTCTTCTTTGATATGTCTTCAAATCACAAGGACCGGCTTTAGTGTTCAAATTCAGCAATCCTATTCAGTCCAAACTCTGTCTGTGCAAAGAGGGTGCATTGGATTGTCCATTTCTCAGCAGCAAGCCCAGGTTTGGTGTTGGCCCAGTCTTGGGTCAACACCAAAACATTCTCCTCAAATCCTTAAAAAGTTAAAAGTTCCTTCCTGCTGGGGTCGAATCACCGACACATAATGTCTCATGCATCATTTATAAATACAGTGGTTTCAGGCTGTGCAGAAGAGAAGTGAAATCAAAACACCACAAGTAAAAACATCATCCAAAATTCAGCGTGGTTGCTCCTCTCTCCTTTCCCTCTCTCTTCCTCTCTCCACCCTCCTCTCTTTTCCCTCTCTCTTCATCCCTCTACCCTCCTCTTCTTTCCACCCACCCTCCTCTCCTTTCCCTCTCTTCCTCCCTCCACCCTCCTCTCTTTTTTCTCTCGCTCCCTCCCTCAACCCTTCTCTCCTCTCTTATCTCTCTTCCTCCCTCTACCCTCCTCTCCTTTCTCTCTCTCTTCCTCCCTCTGCCCTCTTCTTCTATCCCTCTCTCTTCCTCCCTCCACCCTTCTCTCCTTTCCCTCTCTCTTCCTTCCTCCACTCTCTTCTTTCCATCCACATTCCTCCTCTTTCCCTCTCTCTTCCTCCTTCCACCCTCCTCTCCTTTCCTTCTCTCTTCCTCCTTCCACCCTTTTCTCCTTTCCCTCTCTCTTCCTCCCTCCACCCTCCTCTCTCTTCCTCTTCTCTCCTCTCTACTCTATCTTCCTCTCTCCAACCTCCTCTGCTTTCACTCTCTCTTCCTCTCTCCACCTTCCTCTCCTCTCCCTCTCTCTTCCTCCTCCACCCTCCTCTTCTCTCCCTCTCTCTTCCTCCCTCTACCCTCCTCTCCCTCTCTCTTCCTCCCTCCACCCTCCTCTCCTCTCCCTCTCTCTTCCTCCCTCCACCCTCCTCTCCTCTCCCTCTCTCTTCCTCCCTCCACCCTCTTCTACTTCCCGCTCGCCTCGGCCCTTTGAAATCTGCATCATTTCTGTTTACAAGACTCAAATTGCTTCCACACACTTTATTTTCGGCGGCTTGCGATAGATCCCCGAGAGCAGTTCCAAAACAACACCCCATTTTTTTTCTCCCTTTCAAAATACCTCATCTCTTAAACATGGACGTACAGTCACCCTGATAAAGGAGTCACGGCGGCGACAGAATTTGACTCATACTAAGTCGGTAACATGAATGATGTTCTGTGGAAAACTGGCCTTCTTCCATCCAGTGATTCTCAAAGGGGTCTGCTTTGCACCGGAGATTGATGCTTGTTTTAATTGAAATAAGATTTACAGTTTGGGTGGTCTGGAGACAAGGGAGACTGCTGTGTTGATGTAAAAAAAAAAACGAAAGTTGTATGATAAAAGCCAAAATTATTTAGTGGTCACTCGGTGCTGAAAAGGATATTGCACAGGCCAAGTCAAATGGTCGCTCATGGCTCCAGTGGTTACTTGGTAATGGGGAAGAGGATGGGGGACAGACAGAGGATGGGTTTTTACTAAACTCTGCCAACAAAGTGAATCAGCCCTGAGGATGGAAAATGAGGATGTGCAAATGGTTTGGAAGGAAATTCAGGGAGCAGAAGTCTGAAGGGAGAGGTGGATGAAACAAGATGTCAAGCATTTTGTGTACGTGTGTCATCACATAATCACAGAGTTCCTGACGGGCCAAAGTGCACTCAGATCAGTAGCACAAGTTCAGACAAACAGATGTAAACGTATCAAGCCAAAAAGCACAAATGTCAACTTGAGCTAAGTATAAAAAATATGATATCAGTTACCATTAATAGTTAATATTATTAGTAGTTTTTTAATTCTTCATACACTGGTGATAAACTAGTGTAGCCAAAGCTGCCCTGGGGGGAGAATCGAGGCAACCGGTATGTGCCATCAGCCCGAATAACCACCAATAATTTTGCCTAAGCAGACAATAACAGTTAAGCCGTTTCACAAGTCTGACAGGATCAGGATTTCACAATAAATTCAATTTCATTTCTATTTTTGATTAAGCGCTAAATCACAACAGTCATCTTGGAGGAATTTACAAAGTTGTTAATTCACCAACAACAGATCAGAGAAACAGACAGTTGGAACACAGGAAATGCACAAGGAGCCATTGGTCCAAAGGTTGCGGATGACCAACGTCTGTAAATGAGAAGAAATGTCCATCATGGTTCTTAAATGTACTGGTTCATCACTGTCCTTAGACCCTCCAGTCTCAGCAAGGAACAAGGCACCAAATAAAATGTCAAATAAATGGATATGTCAGAAATATTATAATTATGAAAGTTTAGCCTACCTAATGTCATTCACTCTCTACAGCAGAAGCAACTGGACCTCCTCTGTTCCAGCCCTCTTTGTACTTCTGTTTATCCAATGTAGTAACCCATTTTCTATCTAAGCTTTACAGAGCTTCCTGGTGAGTTTTATAGTTAATATCACAACGTGTGAGGATCTTCTGTCCCAAGTCTCTGAAATGTCTAATCAAAGTCAGTAATATTCTTGTTTTCAATTATAGACACAATTATAGACAGAATGTGGATAAAGTCGGGTTTAAGCACCAAGGCAACTTCTCTTCTGCGGCTCAGAGTGAGACCACTTTCAGTCTATTCAGAGGTTTTTGTCTGAAGCCACTGGGAAAGCCTTCTCCTTTCGGCCCATTTCTTTGAGCATTGGTCCATCACCTGCTGTCTTTAATTCAAGCATGCTGTTCTCTCTCTCTGCCTCCTGCTTACACTCAGCTCTTTTGAAGTCGTTGGGGTCCTGGAGTTTTCAAAGGGTCAGAAAAGGGCAGCCTACTGTCCCATAGAAGAGGCCACTCAAGTTACATCTGTCCCAGTGCGAGTCGTAAACGTGTGTGGTGTCGTTGTACTCACGCCTCGCCGCTCTCTCTCTCCCTCGCCTCAGCCTCTCGCTCGACCACCCAAAACGCAAGAGAGGCCGAGAAAACGGACTGTCAGAAAGCAGCACGTTCAGGTTACAAACCGGACAAGAGCGTGGTGCAGGAGTCCTCAACCTTTTTCAATCAGAGAGCTACTTTTATACAATAGAAGAGCCAGAGAGCTACTGTCGTAATGAAGAACTATGTAATCATGTTTATTCTTTGATGATAGAGTTAGAGATTCCTTTTTAGAATTAGTATGGCTATTACTATTGTTCATTTATCTTGTGCTGTTTGCGCCTCATTCTTACTGTTCTGTAACTTGTGATGCAACAGTGAAATTTCCTTAATCTTAAAACATGGAGAACACATTTCAAATATACTCAAACACTAACACTTTATACTTATAATAGATTTGTAATGATTTGTAAAATTCAAGATCATGTGTTCAATTCTAAATCCTTTGCTGAACCTGAAAGGGGCCATGCAGCGAGCCACTGATTGCCCCCGAGCCACAGGTTGGAGACCCCTGGCATAGTGTATTGAGATATAAATAATGGCAATAATTGTATGCTTCAACAGAGACTTTAGGGACCACACTGCAAAAAGTGTTGGAAAATGAGTCAGAAATTGCTCATATTTGGCAAAATGTATCTGGGAATGAGATGCCTATGGCCTACGCAGGTGGACTCACACAAGAGAAAAAATATAGAAGTAATATCTGGCCCTCAAGGTCAAAAGGACTCCGAATGTGTATCCATGTTATGACTCTAATATATAGCTTAAGCACAAATTTAGAGTGGAAGACCTCCACTGTCCTCCAACAGGTCCACTGGCTCCCCATCACTCACCGTATCCAATACAAAATCCTGCTCCTCACATTCAAAGCCATCCACAACCTTGCTCCTCCATACCTGACTGACCTCCTCCAGATCTCCACACCTGCCCGCTCCCTCCGCTCCTCCTCCTCTCTCCAGCTCCTGGTCCCTCCTGCCCGCCTCGTCACCATGGGGAGTAGAGCCTTCAGCCGCTCTGCTCCCCAGCTCTGGAACACTCTCCCCCCTGACCTATATAACACCGACTCACTCACATTCTTCAAATCCACCCTCAAAACTCATCTGTTTAGACAAGCCTACTCACTAACATAACCACACTCTCCTCTGTCCATGCCTTTAACTTTGTATTTTAACTGTTTTTAAAATGCACTTTTTTACTTGTATGAAAGGCGACCTTTAGTGTCAAGAAAGGCGCCTAAGAAATAAAATGTATAAATGTATAAGACCTGAGAACCCAGCTCTGAGCACTCAGTTCTCCAGCTGTTGCCCACAGCAACAGCAATCAGTCAATCACACTCAGCGGTGCAGCAAACCCTCACCTGCAGCAATCAGTCACTGCCTGCATCAGCTTCATATCACGCAGAAGCTCCATACAAGCAGCAGCTTCATTCAGCTTCATTCCTCCTCCCCATCTCCGCCTTGTTGTAGGCCAGCTCCTTCATCCTTCTCTTAGCTACCACCATCAGGGTCATCTCATAATCTCTTTCCCCTTCTGCAATAGTGCAGTGCTCTACCGGGGTCTAAGCGCCAAATCCTAACCACATTCTGGACAGCACAATAAACGTAATCTTGAAAATATTGTCCTTAGTGTCATATGTGTAATTTATGTAGTGTCAGATTATCTGCCAATCAACATACACTTCTAATACTATGTTTTGCCTGTTTGAGTCTCTCCAGATTGAAATGTTCAGATTGTCTCTTGATGCGACACGTACGCCTTTCTATGATGTGACGTATCTGTGACGTAACGAATGACTAAAATAACCATGTCCTGACTTTGTTCTGTCTGAAAAAACCTGAAAAAAACTGAAGGAAGCTGAGAATAAACTTCCAGATGGCTCTGGTGCGTAAAGATCCCGTCTCTGTGAGGTTCATTCTCCACATGTATCTTAATTTTGGCACATTTGGACTGACTTCAAACAATGGGACAAGCACAATTATTAAGATACAAGAAATCTCTTGGAATTACAAAGAAGAAGCCACAGTTCTAGAAATACGACTAAGCGGCTTCGTCCCATCGGCATTTGTTTTAAGACAGTCAGAATGTACTCAATTTAAGATTAAAAAAAACAGTCGATTCAAGCACTTATTTCCTCAGATAGTTTAATTTTTGCAGAGCAGGCGAAGGTAGCGAGTCATCTTCATTATTACATAGAAATTTAGTTTTTCTGGAACAATCTCCATGGAGTTTAATAATATACGGTGGAAGACTACACCTAAAAGAACAATATTTCCGTGGAAACAAGGAGGAGGTCCAGCTCTTGCACAAGTACGAGCCCACACACCGTGACCAACCATTATGCTAATTGAAGAGAGTTTATTAGCGTTGGTTTTTCTCAGCATTGCGTTTGGATTGATCCTTTTTTGTCCTGAAACTCCCATATGAGGTTGTTTTCCGATACTGGATTGGAATCACGTTACAATTGACGAGTTTTTTTTCCCATCATCATTATTTTTTAATCATGAACAGAATTATGTCCTCATTCAACATTCTGCAGCTACAGGGATATTCCACAATGAAGAGATCAGTGATTTTGAACATGGGTCAAAATAATAAGGACTCTCAGACTAAAACATATTAAAACCAGGACACAGTTAGTTCATTATTATGTACTATTACATATTTTATTACTCTATATCAATTTTTTTAATGTTTTCTTTTCGTTTTTCTTAATTTGTTATAATCATTGTAATAATTGTTTTTATTATTATATGTAATATTTTCCTAATTGTTGCCTTGTTATGTTTTTGAATTATGATATTTTGACCAATCAAACTATTAAGGAAAAAACTCAAACATAAAGTTTAAAAGCGATAGTAGATTGCACTCTCGCTTTTCAGCAAGAAGGTCCGGGGTTCGAATCCCGTGTCTGCGTGGGTTTCCTCCAGGTGCTCCGGTTTCCCCTACCACTAAAAACATGCACAATAGGTCTGAATGTAACGAGTGAGTGGATCGATAGTGTTTGCTCAGAGGCTTTGATGCACCAGTGCGTCTCGCTTCCGTCCTCACCGTGTGGAGAGATTGAAACAATATCTGAACTCTGAACATTGTGTGGAAGATTAACCACACAGAGAGGGGATCGTGGCCCACCACAGCTCCTGCAAGTTTATTCAGTTTCTCTCAGGTTTCAGTTGTTTCAGTTTTTTCAGACAGAACATAATCAGGATATGGTTTACATAGTCAACGTTTACGTCACACATGGAAAATAATAAGTGTCACATCAAGAGACAATCAGAACATAACAAGACATCGAAAGAACATAGCGGACACACAAGCATAGCAGATAAACAATTGGGTCGTTGTGACCTAAGGTGACCCCAGATCACTTGTAGAGCTCTCTTTTATTCCCATAATTGTAAAGCGCTTTAGTTGACCTTGGTCTGTAAAATGTGCTATATAAATAAACATGACTTACTTACAGTGGTTATACAGTATGTGTGGTACTGGAGAGATTTGTATGAGATGTCTCCAATCAAGCTTTTTCCGTTCAATTCAGTTTTACAAAGTGGTTTTACTGCAAATGACAAATAGATTCCTGAATTTTCTGGGCTCCTTTGCTATAATCCCTTGTTTTCTTGGAAGATACTTGAGATTTTACATAAACTGTAAGAATCTGGCAATATACAGTAAATCCAAATACAGCAGACAACCTCAAAAGACCCCATTATAAACAAGGCAGGTTTATTTGTATGGTACAGTTCATTCACAAGGCAAAGTGCTGAACAAAACAAGAAACAATCATACAAGGAATTCAAATCATAAATAATCACAGTATATTCAAAAGAGTGGAGAAAAAATCCTTCAGTTGCAGCAGTGAAACCGAACTGTCAATACCTGTCTCACATTGTCAGGAAGACTGCTCCATATTTAGTTCTGACTCTGGGCACCAGCAGGAGGCCAGTCCCTGTGCTCCTCAGAGTCCCAGCAGGAGGCCAGTCCCTGTGCTCCTCAGAGTCCCAGCAGGAGGCCAGTCCCTGTGCTCCTCAGAGTCCAAGTTGGTTCACATGGTACAAACATGTCACAGATGTACTTTGGTGCGAGGCCATGGCGGGACTTGTAAACAATTCTGTAAATTCTCTGAGCCACAGGAAGCAAGTACAGAGACCTGAGAACTGGACTAATGTGAAACAAACTAATATGAAACTTTAGATTAAAACCATGCGTACAACACATCCCCATCGTCTGAAAACACGAATGCACCAAAAAACAGTGGACCCCTGCTTTCCTGTACAAGCCAAACCGTGGGCTCCTGCTGCTCCAGGACCTCCCTTTCCTCACACTCCGAGCTCTTTTTGGCCCCGACACAAACCAGCGGGGGGTGGCCTGCTGGGATGGGAGATGCTATATACCCTGCGGAGATGGTCAATTATACATACGGGGGTCACACGCGGAGTGGAAGGGTGCACCGAAAAGCCGCAAAATAGAAAGAAATTAGCCTTTCAAATGACGCACAGAGATCAAACCCCTTTAAAAAACCCGGTGGGTGTGTGGATTGGGGAGCGTCCCTTTAAGGCCAGACAAAGCAGGTGCAAAGGAGGACAGCTTGAGCTAACAGATGTCTTTGTGAAACTTTGTCAGTACATTATTGGCCTCAACAAAAAATCTGCTGCCGTCTAATTTAGCATTCACAACATTTGCATTCACTTATACAACAAATTGAGGCTCCTCAGGATAAAGCATGTGTTAAATTACTACATATTTAATTGTTCTTTTCCTGAAGAAGTTCTGTCTGAAGAAACTGATAGAAACTAATAATAAACTTGCAGGTTGCTCTGGTGCGTCAAGATCCCGTCGGTGTGGTTTATTTTTCCACATTTAATAAATTGTTTATATTTTCATGATTTAAGATGCTTTTCTTATCAGTCCACATGCAGAATAGCCCAGATAGATATTAATCCAGTCAAAAATTGTTAAAGCTGGGGTACCTAACTTCTAAACCACAAAAAATGTACAATACAAAATACATCTAATTAGTTCCTGACTCTTGGTTTTATCACTAGTATTCATATTTTTGGTCTCTGTCACATCTTTAGATTAGGTTTTTCAGACAGAGAAGTGAGGAGGACCACCCTGCACTTTTAGCCAATTAGCTCGCAGCCCAGAGAGTCAGAGAGTGACTAACAGGGCTCTTTGTTCACGCAATGTTACTTTCAGAAGGCTATTGTAGAGTCGGTCTTCGCGAGTGGGACTTGGGACAAAAACGCACAACGGACAAAAAAGACACAATATCAAAGGGATCAGATTTTTAAAGGTGAATAGGAGGATTTTATACGTCCGGGTGGATCATAAAAACTATTTGTCCTCCCAATTGTCAATCATTCTGGTGTGTGAGTCGGCGGTTCCGTCTAAAATTTCGAAAAATCCTCCTATATTCCTTTAAAATCACAGTGAACGTCAGTCATATCTTGTTTGGACTAGTTTAATATCTCTGGTTTTGTGTCTCTGCATAAATACTGTTTTAAAAAAGCTGTGTATAATATTGTAAAGAACATAACAAAAGACAATCAAAAGAACACCAACATTTTGAGTGCAATCAGCCATGTAAGCCCCTACCCTGTCTTTCCTATTCCCATATCTCAAAAACGTAAACAGAATATATGAAGAGATGTGTGATGTGAAGAAGAGGTTCCGCAGGTCTTTCCTTCCTGCTGCTGTCAGACTGTACAATGAGAACTGCCGAGTCTGTACACGTGCCACTCACCTGTTCTGATAATCCACCACTCACTTTACCTACTATTATCTTAAACAATAGATCCAGTTTGATGTGTGCAACCTTATTTCCTCCTTTTATTCTGCTGTAATATGCGGAACGATGACATTGACCCATGACTTTCTAAAATCTCATCTTATCTTAGCTCAGCGGTCGATACGGTCAGTGTGACGAAGCCAGCTGTTCAAACTTCTCCACCACCTTCCTCACCGACCTAAACGCCACCTCTCTCCTCCACACGTTCCTATCCGCGCCCTGTGCCCCCCTGTATCCCGAGTCCTTACAGCAAAACACTAGAGGAGGCGGAGTCAAACCAGTGCGAATCTTCAGCCTGCCCTGTCCCAGAGCGAAGGCGGGCACCACTCCCCTCCCCGGGTGGAAACGCGTGGGTAAAGTCACGAGGTGTTCCTGGGAAAGTGCGTTGTAGAAGCTCAACGCGCCTCCGCTCACGTTGAGGAAGAGTCCGATGGTCTTGATCCCGGGGGGGGCGCTGCAGACGGGCTCCGATGTGTCGTCGTACACGGCCGAAAACCAAAAACCTCGCCGTTCAAACCACCAGGAACGACTGTTGTCCCGAGAGACCACACCTGAAGGACCGATAATGGATTTTTGAATCATAGTTTTTGGTTGGGAACAGAGATAGATGAAAAGAAACCAGTCATGTGACCACTAGACTCTTAACTCTTAAAGTGGTTCTCACCCCCGCTCCTCGGAGCTTACGTCACACACATTTCCTGTTCAAATCTTCCTCTAAATGGGCGTAGCCTGGAGGACTGAAGGGGGCGTGAACGAGACTGGGCCGTTTACATTGCTCTGGGCGGGGGGCTGCTGACGTCAGGTCTTGCTTCAGACGTCAGGTCTTGCTTCAGACGTCAGGTCTTGCTGCCGCCGCGCCAGTGTTGGCGCCAGATTCAAAATTCAAATGTAGTTTGAGGTTCTCCTCAATCCCCCCGTCACGTCCTCTGTTACAGAGGCAGAGGCTGAGGATGTTGGGGCGGGTACATCCATCTCCCTGGCTGAGGTCACCAAGGTGGTTGGTAGCCTCCATGGTGGCAAGGCTCCGGGTGTGGATGAGATCCGCCCTGATTATCTAAAGTCTCTGGATGTTGTAGGACTGTCTTGGCTGACACGTCTCTGCAACATCGCGTGGCGATCGGGGGCAGTGCCAATGGAGTGGCAGACCGGGGTGGTGGTCCCTCTCTACAAGAAGGGGGACCGGAGGGTGTGTTCCAATTATCGTGGGATCACACTCCTCAGCCTCCCCGGTAAGGTCTACTCCAAGGTACTGGAGAGGAGGTTACGGCCGATGGTCGAATCTCGGATCCAGGAGGAGCAGTGTGGTTTTCGTCCCGGTCGCGGAACACTGGACCAGCTCTATACTCTCCATCGGATACTCGAGGGTTCATGGGAGTTCGCCCAACCTGTCCACATGTGCTTTGTGGATTTGGAGAAGGCGTTCGACTGTGTTCCCCGGGGTGTCCTTTGGGGGGTTCTCCGGGAGTACGGGGTCGGAGGTCCTCTGCTGAGGGCCATCCGATCCCTGTATGACCGGAGCCAGAGCTGTGTTCGCATTGCCGGCAGTAAGTCAGACCTGTTCCCGGTGAATGTTGGCCTCCGACAGGGCTGCCCTTTGTCACCGGTTCTGTTCACTGTATTTATGGACAGAATATCTAGGCGCAGCCAGGGGTCGGAGGGGGTCCGGTTCGGAGACCACAGGATTTCATCTCTGCTGTTTGCGGACGATGTTGTCCTGTTGGCTCCAACGAACCAGGACCTGCAGCATGCACTGGGACGGTTTGCAGCCGAGTGTGAAGCGGCTGGGATGAGAATCAGCACCTCCAAATCCGAGGCCATGGTGCTCGACCGGAAAAAGGTGCCTTGCCCTCTGCAGGTGGGTGGAGAGGTCCTTCCTCAAGTGGAGGAGTTCAAGTATCTCGGGGTCTTGTTCACGAGTGAGGGAAGAATGGAGCGTGAGATTGACAGGCGGATCGGTGCAGCGTGCGCAGTTATGCGGTCGCTGTATCGGACCGTTGTGGTGAAGAGGGAGCTGAGCCGAAAGGCAAAGCTCTCGATTTACCGGTCAATCTTCGTTCCCTCCCTCACCTATGGTCATGAGCTTTGGGTAATGACCGAAAGAACGAGATCGCGGATACAAGCGGTCGAAATGAGCTTCCTCCGCAGAGTGGCTGGGCGCTCCCTTAGAGATAGGGTGAGGAGCTCAGTCACACGGGAGGAGCTCGGAGTAGAACCGCTGCTTCTCCACGTCGAGAGGAACCAGTTGAGGTGGCTCGGGCATCTGTTCCGGATGCTTCCTGGACGCCTCCCTGGGGAGGTGTTCCGGGCACGCCCCACCGGGAGGAGGCCCCGCGGAAGACCCAGGACACGCTGGAGGGACTATGTCTCTCAGCTGGCCTGGGAACGCCTTGGGGTCCCCCCGGACGAGCTGGAGGAAGTGTGTGTGGATAGGGAAGTCTGGGCGTCTCTGCTTAGACTGCTGCCCCCGCGACCCGGCAACGGATAAAGCGGAAGAAAATGGATGGATGGATGGATGGATGGCATTTCTCGCATGTTGAGTGAGAAATTGTTCTGAATTTATAAAGCGTCTTCTCTAAAAGGTTTACGCCCTCGGGGAGAAATCACTATTTTTGTTATCGCTATAAGCCCAGAAGCCTACAGTACGTTGAAGCAGGAAGTAGCTTAATAATAACATGTTTTCTGTGTCCTTTACCTTCAGACTCTCTCACTACTGTTTCCTTTACCTTCAGACTCTCTCACTACTGTCTCCTTTACCTTCAGACTCTCTCACTACTGTCTCCTTTACCTTCAGACTCTCTCACTACTGTCTCTCTTTACCTTCAGACTCTCTCACTACTGTCTCCTTTACCTTCAGACTCTCTCACTACTGTCCCTTTACCTTCAGACTCTCTCACTACTGTCTCCTTTACCTTCAGACTCTCTCACTACTGTCTCCTTTACCTTCAGACTCTCTCACTACTGTCTCCTTTACCTTCAGACTCTCTCACTACTGTCTCCTTTACCTTCAGACTCTCTCACTACTGTCTCCTTTACCTTCAGACTCTCTCACTACTGTCTCCTTACCTTCAGACTCTCTCACTACTGTCTCCTTTACCTTCATACTCTCTCACTACTGTCTCCTTTACCTTCAGACTCTCTCACTACTGTCTCCTTTACCTTCAGACTCTCTCACTACTGTCTCCTTTACCTTCAGACTCTCTCACTACTGTCTCCTTTACCTTCAGACTCTCTCACTACTGTCTCCTTTACCTTCAGACTCTCTCACTACTGTCTCCTTTACCTTCAGACTCTCTCACTACTGTCTCCTTTACCTTCAGACTCTCTCACTACTGTCTCCTTTACCTTCAGACTCTCTCACTACTGTCTCCTTTACCTTCAGACTCTCTCACTACTGTCTCCTTTACCTCAGACTCTCTCACTACTGTCTCCTTTACCTTCAGACTCTCTCACTCAGCTCTCTCCTACTGTCTCCTTTACCTTCAGACTCTCTCACTACTGTCTCCTTTACCTTCAGACTCTCTCACTACTGTCTCCTTTACCTTCAGACTCTCTCACTACTGTCTCCTTTACCTTCAGACTCTCTCACTACTGTCTCCTTTACCTTCAGACTCTCTCACTACTGTCTCCTTTACCTTCAGACTCTCTCACTACTGTCTCCTTTACCTTCAGACTCTCTCACTACTGTCTCCTTTACCTTCTACTCTCACTACTGTCTCCTTTACCTTCAGACTCTCTCACTACTGTCACCTTTACCCTCAGACTCTCTCACTACTGTCTCCTTTACCTTCAGACTCTCTCACTACTGTCTCCTTTACCTTCAGACTCTCTCACTACTGCCTCCTTTACCTTCAGACTCTCTCACTACTGTCTCCTTTACCTTCAGACTCTCTCACTACTGTCTCCTTTACCTTCAGACTCTCTCACTACTGTCTCCTTTACCTTCAGACTCTCTCACTACTGTCTCCTTTACCTTCAGACTCTCTCACTACTGTCTCCTTTACCTTCAGACTCTCTCACTACTGTCTCCTTTACCTTCAGACTCTCTCACTACTGTCTCCTTTACCCTCAGACTCTCTCACTACTGTCTCCTTTACCTTCAGACTCTCTCACTCAGACTCTCTCCTACTGCCTCCTTTACCTTCAGACTCTCTCACTACTGTCTCCTTTACCTTCAGACTCTCTCACTACTGTCTCCTTTACCTTCAGACTCTCTCACTACTGTCTCCTTTACCTTCAGACTCTCTCACTACTGTCTCCTTTACCTTCAGACTCTCTCACTACTGTTTCCTTTACCTTCAGACTCTCTCACTACTGTTTCCTTTACTGACTTTTATCCATGATTAATGACAGCCCTGGGTTAAGTTTGGGATGGTAATGACTTTTAAGTGAGGACCTGAAGAGCTATCAATATTTGACATGTTTTTGAATATTTCTGCATAATTAATGTGCAGAGTTAAATTGAATCATAATTGCATCATTGCGACTGATTTTCTTCTCCTCATTATTGGTGTCCTCTGCGCTCAGTCCGCTTCGGTTTCTCTAAACTTTTTAATTTGACGGTTTGTGTGAACGTCTTCGGCCACGTTTCATTCCTAAATTAAAAATATTTCCGGTTCCCCATCTGATGTGGAGTTAGCACTGGTTTTGTTGAACAGATAGAGCAGGGCAGTGTGTTCCAGCCCGTCATCCGACCATAGACTGGAATGTTTTTGTTTTTAAATCCCAATTCACTCTTTTCTTCTGGTATAAAACATATTCGTAAAATGCATTTTGAAATAAACGTGTAGAGGGGGAGTAAATTACACTATTTATATAGATTATTGATTGATTGGCGCTTGTACCTCACAGCAGAAGGTCCAGGATTGTATTCCACCTCCAGATCTGTCTGTGTGGAGTTTACATGTTCTTCTTATGTCTGTGTAGATTTCCTCCAGGTGCTCCGGTTTCCCCTATCACTAAAAAACGGTACAATAAAATGTCTGGTATGTAGCTCCTGGGGACCTCGCTCCCATCTCTCTGTGGAGATGGGACCAATCAGAGAGCTGCTGATGGTCACGGGGACATTAGCGGTCTGAGCGAGCAGACTGAAGATACTGTAAACAGCCAAAACAGGAGCTACACCAGGACTAAAACAGGAGCTACACCAGGACTAAAACAGGAGCTACACCAGGACTAAAACAGGAGCTAAACCAGGGTTGACAATGGAAGACACAGTGCTTGTGAACATATGCCTCCAGCCTGAGTCCTCATTCTCCAGGGACTGTAAACTAGTCCCGCTAACGTGTTCTTGATGCGGAAGTTTCATTTCATTTCATTTCATTTTCAACCCCTTTATTTGTCCATTTCTGGGTCAGGGGGGTGGCAATGAGAGCTGCCACCCAATGCTCATAGCACCAGTCCCTCGCTGATCCTCTGCAGGGGGTGAGTCCGCAGGAAGATGGCTGCTCTGTCAGTGGTGAAACCGCCTTGATCTTTCAGCAGGGGCTTCAGGCAACGTGGGGTTAAGTGTCTTGCCCAAGGACACAACGACAGCAGTCATCAGTGGGAGCAGTTGGAGTAGGTCCCATGGTGGGAATCGAACTCACAACCTCCAGGCCCAAAGGCCAATGCTCTACCAACTGAGCTACTGTCGCCCCTTGATGCGGAAGTACTGTCTAATAATAAAATAAAAGTATGGCGCATCTCCGCGAACACATACTGCTGTTATATAAAGTCACCTCCGTGAACACATACTGCTGTTATATAAAGTCACCTCCGTGAACACATACTGCTGTTATATAAAGTCACCTCCGTGAACACATACTGCTGTTATATAAAGTCACCGTGAACACATACTGCTGTTATATAAAGTCACCTCCGTGAACACATACTGCTGTTATATAAAGTCACCTCCGTGAACACATACTGCTGTTATATAAAGTCACCTCCGTGAACACATACTGCTGTTATATAAAGTCACCTCCGTGAACACATACTGCTGTTATATAAAGTCACCTCCGTGAACACATACTACTGTTATATAAAGTCACCGTGAACACATACTGCTGTTATATAAAGTCTGTGAAGGTCTCAGACACAGAGACGCTGTAGAGCTGCATTATTGGAGAAAACTTTACACAAAAAGCTGCTAGCTTAACTCTGTTAGCATCAAAGCCCGCACGCCACGGAAGGCGCGTCGGCAGGCCAGGACTTCTGGTCTGGGCGTTCCAGTGTCGGCGGTCTGAACGCCCCATTAGCGAGGCAGCGGGCCACATAACATGACACAGAGGACCGTAGTCAGCTCGCGGGCCATGGTTTGGACCTGCCTGCTTATTCCCATCACCAGAGTGTTTTTACCTCTGAAATAGATCCGTCTCGTTCCTGGTTGTGTTTCCCGCCGCAGAAGCAGATGGTCCGTGGCGCTCGCCCCACAAGACGCACAACACCTGAGTGACAGCGGCGCGGACGCACAACACCTAAGTGACAGCGGCGCGGACGCACACTCGCCGGGACGTCCACGGTCACGCTCTCATCTGCTCTCTGTGATTGACAGCCGCACCTCCCTCCCACCCAGACACAGGCAGTGGGGGGGCAATGAGCAAGACTGCCCTAGCCTCATCCCTCCCCTCCTCCCCTCCCCTCCTCCCTCCTCCCCTCCTCCCTCCTCCCCTCCCCTCCTCCCTCCTCCCCTCCCTCCCCTCCTCCCTCCTCCCCTCCCCTCCTCCCTCCTCCCCTCCCCTCCCCTCCTCCCTCCTCCCTCCTCCCCTCCCCTCCCCTCCTCCCTCCTCCCTCCTCCCTCCTCCCCCCCCCTCCCCTCCCCTCCCCCTCCCCCCTCCCTCCCCTCCTCCCCTCCCCTCCCCTCCTCCCTCCTCCCTCCTCCCTCCTCCCTCCTCCCTCCTCCCCTCCTCCCTCCTCCCCTCCCCTCCTCCCTCCTCCCCTCCCTCCCCTCCTCCCCTCCCCTCCTCCCTCCTCCCCTCCCCTCCCCCTCCTCCCTCCTCCCCTCCCCTCCCCTCCTCCCTCCTCCCCTCCCCTCCTCCCTCCTCCCCTCCCCTCCCCTCCTCCCTCCTCCCCTACCTCCCCTCCTCCCCTCCCCTCCCCTCCTCCCTCCTCCCTCCCCCTCCCCCTCCTCCCTCCTCCCCTCCCCTCCTCCCTCCTCCCTCCCCTCCCCTCCTCCCTCCTCCCCTCCCCTCCTCCCTCCTCCCCTCCCTCCTCCCCCTCCTCCCTCCCCTCCCCTCCTCCCTCCTCCCCTCCCCTCCTCCCTCCTCCCCTCCCCTCCCCTCCTCCCTCCTCCCCTCCCCTCCTCCCTCCTCCCCTCCCCTCCCCTCCCTCCTCCCCTCCCCTCCCCTCCCCCCCTCCCCTCCCCTCCCCCTCCTCCCCTCCCTCCCCTCCTCCCCTCCCCTCCCCTCCTCCCTCCTCCCCCTCCCCTCCCCTCCTCCCTCCTCCCCTCCCCTCCCCTCCTCCCTCCTCCCCTCCCCTCCTCCCCTCCCTCCTCCCCTCCTCCCCTCCCCTCCTCCCTCCTCACCTCACCTCCTCCCCTCCCTCCTCCCCTCCCTCCTCCCCTCCTCCCCTCCCCTCCTCCCTCCTCCCCTCCCCTCCTCCCCTCCCCTCCTCCCTCCTCCCCTCCCCTCCTCCCTCCTCCCCTCCCCTCCCCCTCCTCCCTCCTCCCCCCTCCCTCCCCTCCTCCCCTCCCCTCCCCTCCTCCCTCCTCCCTCCCCTCCCCTCCTCCCTCCTCCCCTCCCCTCCTCCCTCCTCCCCTCCCCTCCCCTCCTCCCCTACCTCCTCCCCTCCTCCCTCCTCCCCTACCTCCTCCCCTCCCTCCTCCCCTCCCTCCTCCCCTCCTCCCCTCCCCTCCTCCCTCCTCCCCTCCCTCCCCTCCTCCCCTCCCCTCCTCCCTCCTCCCCTCCTCCCTCCTCCCCTCCCCTCCCCTCCTCCCTCCTCCCCTCCCTCCTCCCCTCCCTCCTCCCCTCCCTCCTCCCCTCCCCTCCTCCCTCCTCCCCTCCCTCCTCCCCTCCCCTCCCCTCCTCCCTCCTCCCCTCCCTCCTCCCCTCCCTCCTCCCCTCCCCTCCTCCCTCCTCCCCTCCCCTCCTCCCTCCTCCCCTCCCCTCCCCTCCTCCCTCCTCCCCTCCCTCCTCCCCTCCCCTCCTCCCTCCTCCCCTCCCTCCTCCCTTCCTCCCTCCTCCCCCTCTTCCCTCCTCCCCTCCTCCCTCCCCTCCCTCCTCACCTCACCTCCTCCCCTCCCTCCTCCCCTCCTCCCTCGCCTCCTTCCTCCTCACCTCCTCCCTCCCCTCCCTCCTCACCTCCTCCCTCCCCTCCCTCCTCCCCTCCCTCCTCCCCTCCTCCCTCGCCTCCTTCCTCCTCACCTCCTCCCTCCCCTCCCTCCTCACCTCACCTCCCTCCTCCCTCCCCTCCCTCCTCACCTCACCTCCTCCCCTCCCTCCTCCCCTCCTCCCTCCTCACCTCACCTCCTCCCCCCCTCCCTCCTCCCCTCCCTCCTCCCCTCCTCCCTCCTCACCTCACCTCCTCCCCCCCTCCCTCCTCCCCTCCCTCCCCTCCCTCCTCACCTCACCTTATGGCCAATGTGACATGTCCATTTGTCCTTTGTGAGATCAATAAAGTTTATCTTCTTTATCTAGTTCATGGAGATACTTTGGTACTTTGTTATGTGGCCTAACATAACCATAAATATACAATCAAGTCAGAGTATTTGCCGCAGGTTCACCGTGTGTTAGTGTATTTACATTTTTAATATGTATTTACGGATGTATTTCTATCTACTGTGATTTCTATCTTCTATATAATGAGATGATGACGCAGAGCTCTGAGATTGAGTCACTGAAAAACACATTTTATTGTTGGCAAATTATGAGTGTTTCTTTGTAGACATAGTTTTATACCAAAACAAGGACATCTATATATAATTGTTTTTGTTTTATTGCTTGTATTTAAAGGTGGCAGTCTCGTGTAGATATAAATGTGTTGCTTTAATCTGTGCAGCACTTTGGAAATGTCCGTCCGTCCGTTTTCTTCCGCTTCATCCGTTGCCGGGTCGCGGGCACTTTGGAAATGTGTTTTATGAAATGTAAATATATAAAGTGGATTGGATCTGCCACGACGCCAATACATATTAGAATGTTACTAAGATGCTAGCTGTTTTATGCTAGCTGTTTCTATGCTAGTCGGTGTATCTACAGTATATTCATATGTATTCTTATTTTTTTACTTTTTTGTAACTTGTTTGCACCATGAGCCAAAGCAAAGCCACTAGTTTGTGATTAAAACGGCAGTAAAAGGCAAGTTTAATTGTATAGCACACTTCATACACATGGAAACTCAAAGGGCTTGAACAAAACAAGACGGAGACAGTCAGAGAAGGCGCTAACAATCACAAAACATTCCAAAAAGTCAAGATTTAAAAAACTGATCTTCACTTGGATTTGAACATTGTCTGTGTAGAAGCCTGTCTCACATTTTCTGGAAGATATCTGTATAAATCTGAAGCGCTGCCTCCTGAGTCTGCAGATTTCTGTGAAGGTAAATACTTGCAAAGGTCACCTCAGCTGTTCACGCCTCACCTTTTCATGACGCCGCGCTCACAACAGCCGTTATCGAGGGAAATCAAATAAAAACATCTCTTTCCGACTCAAATTATGTTCAAATTATACAAACAAACTGGCCGTGTCCTGCCTGCGGGACTGAAAATCAAATCCATGTTCCTGCCTAATCTGGGAGTCACATTTCAGCCTCGTCTTCGCCCTGGAATATGTAATCCATTAGTTGAAACGCAAGCACAAAATATGTCTTTTTTACACAAAGTTAAAGGAGCAGTTTGTAAAAATCTGTCCAAAAGTGGTACTGCAGCCTCTCCCACTCTCCCTGACTCGGGTTGCCAGATATGTAGACGTAACAGCAGTTCGACAAAATTTGAACTGGCTGCATTTTAAAACCTATTTCCTCCCCACTTCCTGTACGCTCAGATCTCCAATCCTCCTCGCACCTGATTGGTTCTTCCCACAGTGATGCGTCTTGAGCATTAATTAAGACTGTAAATATCAACAGACGTAGTCACGCCTATCTCCGCCATTTTAACTAATGTGACATCACTTTTGCCGTTGGGCAGTTTCAAGGCAAGAAACTGTGTTACCTGCACTAGCCCTGTTCATTTATCGAGTGCATTCTAAAGTCCACAGCAACTAAACTAGAGTGGTCCAAAAATAATATACTCCACTCACTCCCCTTTGGACCAAGGGCCACTTTTGGACCAAGGGCCACCTTTGGACCAAGGGCCACCTTTGGACCAAGGGCCACCTTTGGACCAAGAGCCACTTTTGGACCAAGAGCCACTTTTGGACCAAGAGCCACTTTTGGACCATGGGCCACTTTTGGACCAAGGGCCACTTTTTGACCATCCTGTAAATCCGTTTTCAAGAGGAAAGAACATGCCATACAAAAGCATTGGGTAATTCTTATTCCGGGTACACCCCCACAGGCCCAGGGTGGTATTGCAGCATGATCCGCCCTCACTGGTCTTTAGACTCAGGTGGCGGTGAAAAGGCAGCTCTCAATTCTGCATTAGCGTGTCTTGAGGAGAGAATACATTTGGACACACGCACGCACACACACACACACACACACACACACACACACACACACACACGAGCACACACACACACACACACACACACACACACACAGACACACACGCACACACATACACACACACAGAGACGCACGCACACACACACACACAGACACACACACACACAGACACACACAGACACACACACACACAGACAGACACACACACACACACACACACACACCGGAGCTGGACCCATGTTTTCGGACAGATGGGACCAGCCCGTGCCAGCGGTGAGTGCGGGAGAGGACGTGCATATTAAGGGACGGGCGCCAGAACAAAAAGCGTAAATATTGCTTTGGGAGTTGGGATTGTGGACCGGGGCTTTGCTGCAGATGGGATCAATATCAGGCTGATAGGATTTGTCCTGGAGAGAGACGTCCAAAGCCTTTTACTGATATGTTCCTGCCTTTAGCACAGCAGGGGCCACTTTAGCTCAGACTGGTCCAGGGGCCGCAGACATGGACTGTAGAACTGTTCTGGGCTTTGATCATACTAATAATGATAATGATGATAGTAATAATAATAATAGTAATAATAATAATAATAATAATAATAGTAATGATGATAATAATAATAATAATGATAATAATAATAATATTAATAGTAATAATAATAATAGTAATAATAATGATAATAATAATGATAATAATAATGATAATAATAATAATAATATGATGCATTGGTTTTAAACAGCACTTTTCTGGTCACTCAAAAACGCTTTATACGTCATTACTCTGGGTGCTATTCCGTAGCCAGAGCTGCCCTGGGGCACACTGACAGAAGCGAGGCAACCAGTCTGTGCCGTCGACCACCATGCATGCTCTCCCCATGTCTGTGTAGGTTCCCTCTAGGTTCTCCGGTTTCCCCTTCCACCAAAAACACGTACATCAGCTGCAGATATGTCGACTCTGTTTCCATGACTGTGAGAAGTGAGAGGACAAAGCGCTTTGTGAGTCTGGTCTGAGACAAAGGCGCTATATAAATAAAAATGAGTTCAAAACATACTTGGGCCGGTTCTATTCCTGGAGCCGGTGTCGGGAGAAGCTGCTGTTGTGAGTCAGAGTGAGAGTGACGGTGGAGACCTGTCTGCGCGATGAGGCTAAATATGACTCTGGCCAAAGCTCCAGGGCCACGCTCAGTAAAAATAGTGGGCTCTCCGGGGACCGTGATGGGGCCACAGCTGGTTGGGGCCGATCCGGGACCAACCAGTCCACTTCATTTCAGCGCTGAGGGGATTGGATGACGCTGGTATTGTTCTGGACATGGACTGTGGATCTGCGGCTATTTAAATGAGTGTGTTCACAGTAAAGTGATAGGGATTTGCACAGCAGTACCTACAGATTTATTTATTTATTTATTTATTTGTTTATTTGAGCAGACAAGTACTGCTCAAAAGGAGTGGGCCGAAGCAAAAGCTTATTGGTGCCCACCCCCAAAAACACTACATGAAAATATACACACTTTACATAGAACAGCAACTATGCAAATGTAAAAAAATAAACAAGAAAGAACAGACGATAACAGCAATATTAACGACAAATAATGGCAACTGTTTAAAGCAACATCACTCTTCAAGGTCACTAAAGATCATAATGACTATAATAAGCAACAAAACGAAGTTGATAAAATAGAAATAAAAAAACAAAACAAAACAAAACCAAACACCAATTTATTTTAGCCCGATTGCGCCCCCTAGTGACATATAATTTCCTCCTCTTTATATTTATCGAAGGTGCGTCGGAGGAGAGGCCTGTAAAGCCTAATGTCATAGAGAAAATGATTCCCTCACACCGTCTTACTGGCAAATTAAAAAATATTCGAAATGCGACGTTTCAGCGTTATGCCTTCATCAAGTGTCTGGACTTTAAAAGGTTATAACAAAAATTAAAAGTCATAGATTAGAAAAACACAGACATATATCAATGCCAATCAAGTATGTACAATTTGTTCCCTCAAGGAATCAATAATTATAATCAATAATTATGACAAATCCTCAGACTTGGCCGAGGTCAAGGCTGTTCAGTCACTGCTCAAGATATTTGTGTTTATCATGATTCAAGGATTTTATATTTTTAACGCACTGTGATTATTCATGATTTTAATGTTTCTTTTGCACTGTGAGTGGCCTCGTATAGCAAAGGTACTTGTTAGAACGAGCCCTGTGAGTCACTATTCGACTCTTTGGGCTGAGAGCTGATTGGCTGTGGGAGGGTGGTCCATTCTTTTCCACTTTTCCAAGTCTGAAAACGCTGAGCTAAACATGTGACAGAAGCTAAAAATATATATTTGTGAAAGCTAGTGGTAGTTTCCATGTAGCGCTAATTAAGCCCAATGGTACCAGCCCAACGGTACCAGCCCAACGGTACCAGAGCTGCCAAGTTTGTGTTTATTAATCACTGAATGTATTTTTATCTTACCTTTATGTATGTTCGAAGCATCTCTCTCTGTCTCTCTTTTGAATGTGTAAAACAGTCGAGACTTTAAACCGGGATTAAGCATAACAGTATTCAAATCTTTCAAAGTCTTTCCTGCAGCTCTCACAAACATTTAGGATTTACACGTCTAAAATTGGTACCTGTGATACTAATACTGGTCCCATTGAGTCCATGTGTCGCTGCTGTTGTACCTGCAGCTCAGCGGGTCCGTCTTAAAACCATATTATCTCTTGGGAAGAAGGAGTTGAAGAAGAATTTGAGAGGAAAATGTGGAAATATTTAGAATCACAACATATAAAAAGTCAGTGTTTCGAGTCAAAGTAGAGTTGGGGGTTTTCGTGGCAGACTCCGTGTCAAAAATCAAACTCTGAAAAGGTCCTCTTTCCAAAAAAAACAAATTCTTTGTAAATCTTTGTCAACTGTTGCCGAGAATAGCAGCAATTGGCTTTGGATTAGAAGAAAAGACGACCTATCTATCTATCTTGATTCCTCTTGAGGGGCCTCGCCTCTCAGCAAGAAGGTCCTGGGTTCGAACAGGGTCTTTCTGAATGGAGTTTGCATGTTCTCCCCGTGCTTGCGTATGTTTCCTCCAGGTACTCCGGTTTCCCCTACCACTAAAAACATTAACACTAGGTTAAATCCTCCAGCTCTGGTCCTGACCAAGCCGAGCATCAACATCTGGAGATGGGTTCCTGGGCGCTGTTACTACGGCGACCACTGCTCCTGATGTAAGCATTAGTGGCATCAGGATGGGTCAAATGCAGAGGATGAATTGCCCTACGGGGATTAAAAAGTGCACCTTTACCTTTAGATAATGTGGGCTCATCATTAAAACATCAGGAGGGTACCCACCTGATGACCCTGAAACCCAAAGACTTAAATCAGGTGTTGAAACATTGAGTCCCAACAGTAATGAGGACTGAGGAGTGTGAGCTGCCTGTTCAGGAGGTTCTAAGAGTCTTAAGAATAATCAAAGAAAAGCCATGTTCCAGCTTCTTCCTTCTGGCATAAGATACCATTCGCTGACATGCACGACATCTGGATATGCTAACATGCTAACAGCTTCTTTCGACAAGCTGTTATCAGTCTGAACCAAGCACTTTTAACAATAATGTTGACTGGTTTCACAGCGACAATTCCTGGTTGTACTTTTTAGCTTGTTTTACCTGTTTTACAATGTGTGTGTTTACTGCAAATGAAAAACACACACAAAATCTTGATGCTAACTTTCTGTCCGTGAACCACCCTCGTGTTTGTTTATGTCTCGTGATTTGCGACATCACACTTTCCCTTAACTCATTGACTATCCGCCGTTTTTGATGCTTCCACTGATTCTCAAGACCCACAGAATATTATTTCCGAAGACTATGTGAAATATAAAACCAGATTCTGAATTGGATTGTCTTCTTTCATCAGCAAAAATACGTTTTTTTATAGCTATTTTTCTTGTTGTCGTGTAATTCCCATTCGAATGGAGGGTCTCAGACTAATACAGGCATGTCAAAGTCAAATAAATCAGAGGGCCAAAAAAACAAATTTGCTGCGAGCCGAGGGCCGGACTGGTTCAATGTTTATTAACTCATTGCCTGCCAGCCTATCTCAGAACAGGTACTCCCATATTGCCAGCAGTTTCTGATGATTTTTATAGATTTTTCAAGATCCACAGAATATTGTGTACTATGACTATCTGAAATCCGAAACCAGATTCTGAAAGAATAGACTGTCTACTTTCATCATCAAAATGAATTTTGTTTCTAGCTTGTAATCCCCAGTTGAGTAGAGGGAAGTTTTACTAAAATCACCAAAAAGCTGAGAAAAAAGAGGCACAACAAGTGCATCTAGCTGTTTTCAAACCATTCAGAGAGCGCTGCTGCCACCTGCTGGCTCGATTCAATATGCTCTCAAGCTTATCCCCAAACATATTAGATATAATAGACATCTGGGAACATGAAAATAGCGGAAAACGCAATTGACGTAATAGTGCGTCAATGGCAGGAAACGGGCCTTGACTTTGACACATGTGGACTAATACGTCAAAGGCAGTCAATGCGTTAAAGACCGGCCCATTCGCTGCTGTTTGGACTGAGACGCCATTTTGTTCCGTTCTCCACATCTGTCGGCGCTGGAGGGACAAATTGGAAAGATTGCACGGCCCGCGACGTCACCGGGCATTAGTATCTCTGCGGGAGGACGCCTCGTTATCGGGCGGTTTGTAAAATATTCAGGCTGTGGTGTTTGAAGGGGTCGGTGGACAGCTGGAGGCAGGGGGAGGATGCTGACTTCTACTGATTTGGAAGTTTGTGAAGCACAGAGACGTGTTTATGATCGCCGGCACGTCCACACGCCACCGAGAATATCAATGGATTCAGCGTTACTAAGCCCGAACCTGGTGTGAGGCTCCGGAGAGGAGAGAGGTAGCGTTGGTTTGAGCGTTCAGGGGTTGGAGGAGGTGGAGGAGGTGAGTGTGTGGTCAAGTGGGTAGTCGCCATTTTGTTTTTTTTGCTAGTAGAAAGTATATTTGCTCAATCTCAACAGTCTCTGCAACTTTAAAATCAGAAAGATGATTTCATAAAAAACCTTTCTAGCTAGTTGCTCATTCTCGGAACAATTTCTCATGCATGTATTTGTGGCTTTCATCTCAACTTTAGATCAGCTTTTTCAGATGTAAATGGAGAAAAGAGAGGACCCTGAGTGACCCTGAGTGACCCTGAGTGACCCTGAGTGACCCTGGGTGACGTGGGGCTCTTTCTTTCTAGTATTTTATGTAATTTTCCGTAGACGCTTCACTTGTCATTATCCATCATTCTTTCACTTGGTGTAGGTATCTGTGCCATCAGCCCCTTCCACCACAAACAACCATTAATAATAATAATACATTTTATTTAAAAGCCCCTTTCAAAACACCCAAGGACACTGTACAGGCATAATAAAAATATTAAAAACAGAAGCAACAGAATAAAACAGCAGTGCATTATGGGATGGTGGGTGCGTGTGTGTTAGGTGGGGTAGGACCATGGGGTAGGACCATGGGATAGGACCATGGGGTAGGACCATGGGGTAGGACCATGGGGTAGGACCATGGGGTAGGACCATGGGGTAGAACCATGGGGTAGGACAGTCTGAACAGATGGGTTTGAGTCTGGATTTGAAGAGTGGAAGAGAGTCTATGGTACGGAGGTCAGGGGGGAGAGAGTTCCAGAGCTGGGGGGCAGAGGCTGGAGGCTCTGTGTCCCACGGTGATGAGTCTGGCTGGGGGGACGGAGAGTGTGAGGGTGGAGGAGGAGCGGAGTGTGGAGGCAGGAGTGGCAGGGTGGAGGAGGAGCAGGAGCGGCAGAGTGGAGGAGGAGCAGGAGCGGCAGGGTGGAGGAGGAGCAGGAGCGGCAGGGTGGAGGAGGAGCAGGAGCGGCAGGGTGGAGGAGGAGCAGGAGTGGCAGGGTGGAGGAGGAGCAGGAGCGGCAGGGTGGAGGAGGAGCAGGAGTGGCAGGGTGGAGGAGGAGCAGGAGCGGCAGGGTGGAGGAGGAGCAGGAGTGGCAGGGTGGAGGAGGAGCAGGAGTGGCAGGGTGGAGGAGGAGCAGGAGTGGCAGGGTGGAGGAGGAGCAGGAGTGGCAGGGTGGAGGAGGAGCAGGAGTGGCAGGGTGGAGGAGGTCATATATGTACGGAGGGGGGGCCAGGTTGTGAAGTGCTTTGAAAGTGGTGAGACTCATTCTAATGTGGGGGAAGTGTTTTGCCTAAGGACACAACCATAGGTCTCCCATTACGGTACTAACCAGGCCCTGCCCTGCTTCGCTTCAGAAGTCTGACGGGATCTGGCTCTCATCTCATCTCACCCTCATCCCACCCCCAGTACCTGGACCTCATGCCTTCAGTACCTGGACCTCATGCCTTCAGTACCTGGACCTCATGCCTTCAGTACCTGGACCTCATGCCTTCAGTACCTGGACCTCATGCCTTCAGTATCCAGGTTCCCAGGAGATTATAAACGCCGCACAAGGAATGACTGTCACGGATTGTCTCCTTGGGCCAAAAACAAACGAATGAATGAACTCATTAAATACAATTCTGCATTCTCTCTCAGATTAAAATAGTCACAGTGGTTCACGGTGATGGCTTTTTTCTTTCCAAAAACCAAACTGAGCACGTGGGGAAACTTACTCATTATAAAATACTTCACAAATATTACTTCAAAATGGGTTTTTTTCAAAGTGGTCAATGCTGGAAAAGTAAAAATCATGAGGGGCACGGTGGCTGAGTGGATAGCACTCTCGCCTCTCAGCAAGAAGGTCCTGGGTTCGAATCCCGGTCGGTCCAGGGCCTTTCTGAGTGGAGTTTGCATGTTCTCCCCGTGTCTGCGTAGGTTTCCTCCGGGTACTCCGGTTTCCCCTACCACTAAAAATATGTCCAATAGTTCTAGCATGTGCCTCCTGTACTGGTGACCCCGCTCCCATCTCTGTGTGGAGTGAGAGACAAATGCCCAAAAAAATAATAACAATTGTAAACCGCTTTGTGACCCTTGTCTGTGAAAGGCGGTATATGAATAAACATTACTTACTTACTTACTAAACCTTTATTAGTCTCACAGTGGAGAAATGTCAGTGTCATCGTTGCACATTACAGCAGAGAAAGGAAAAAAGGAAACTCAGATTGCACACATCAAAGTCTATTATTTCAATCAATCAATCAATCTTTTTATTTCGAACTTTGTTGTCAATCCAAATGCCATGTCATTTCATAATGCATAAAAAAATAAACTTTGTACACTCTGTACTTCTATTCTCATTCGAAAAAACAAGGAAAAAAAAAACAATAATAAATACAAAATATGAGAAGCAATACAAAATTGCAAAAAACAATACAAAATTGCAAAAAACAAAACTAATACAAGATACAAAAAAAAAAAAAAAAAATGACAACAAGAAAGTTCGAAAGGGAGTGGGAAGAAGTAAATACTTTTTAAATCCCACCCCCAGTGCATAAATGTTTGGTGGTTGCTTATGTTGTTTGTGTAGTAGCTTAACCTTTATCATATACATCAATAATTCTAATAACTCATGCGTAGCTTTTAATTCAATAACTTATACTCTGTTCATGTACAGACTCAAGATTGTGTTTTGCAGATTTTGACACTTAATAAAATACAAATACTACATGATTTAGTAAAGAATCAACATACACTGCAACCCTTAGCTCCGTAATACTGTTATTGTGAGTAAATGATGTATGATGGTGTTGCTACTATATGACTATAGTAAGGATTTTCCCTGTGTACTGTACTGTTGTAAAAGTTTTTCTTTATATTTGACTTTAAAATGGTATATGGTGGGACATTGTTTTAACTTCCAATCCAATTTATTCCACAGTCGCACACCGCACACTGAGACACACATACTTCTCCTCGTGGTTCTTACAGCATTTGGTATAAGTTTACCATTTCCCCTGAGATTACGGCCATCTTCTCTTTCTATAAATTGAGATTGAATGTTGGTCGGCAGAGATTTTTTACTGGCTTTGTAAAGCAATTGAGCTGTGCAAAAATCCACCAAATCCACAAATTTCAATAATTTAGACTGTAAGAAGAGTGAATGTGTGTGTTCCAGGTAACTCGTCTTGTGGATAACTCGTACTGCTCGCTTTTGAAGTAATTCCAATGTTCTTATGGCAGTTTTATAATTGTTTCCCCAAACTTCTACAACATATGATAAATAAGGATAAACTAAACTGAAGTATAGGATGTACAAGGCGTTATAGTTGAGTACCCACTTTGCTTTATTTATAATAGCTATATTTTTCGATACTTTCTTTTGTATGTAATTAATGTGAGATCTCCAGTTTAAGTTTTTGTCGATTATTATTCCCAAAAATTTGATTTCTGTTACCTTTTGTATTACTTTACCATCAATAGTTATGGATATATTTGGGTTTTCCTTGCAGTTACCAAATATAATTACTTTCGTTTTTTCAAGGTTAAGTGATAGCTTATTATTATTCATCCATGTTTTAATTTTTGCCAATTCCTCATTAATAGTGTTTATAGCGTCATCATAACAATCATCTGCATAGAAAATGTTAGTGTCGTCAGCAAATAAAATCAGTTTCAGTAGTACAGATACATTGAAGATGTCATTGATATACAAATTGAATAATTTCGGCCCCAATATGGAACCTTGTGGCAGTCCACATGTGATAGTTTTGCATGTAGATTGGTACTTACCCATCTTTACAAACTGCTGTCTCTCAGTTAAATAACTTTTAATCCACTCCCCTGCTACCCCTCGGATCCCATATTTCTCTAGTTTTTCAAGTAAGATTGTATGATTAATCGTATCAAACGCTTTTTTCAAGTCAATAAAAACTCCAACGGCTATTTTTTCTTATCCAATGAACGTGAAATTTCCTCTACAGCATCAATAATGGCCATAGAGGTCGATCTTCCAGGTCTAAACCCATATTGTCCGTCATTTATCAGGCAGTGTTTTTCAATGAAATTTTCAAGTCTATCGTTGAAAACTTTCTCAAGGATCTTTGAAAACTGTGGAAGGAGAGAGACAGGTCTTTAGTTAGTAAAGATGTGCTTGTTACCAGACTTAAAAATTGGAATTACCTTAGCTGTTTTCATTTTGTTTGGAAATAACCCATTTTGCAGTGAAATGTTACAAATATAAGTTAATGGTTTTGTTATGCAATCTATGACTTTTTTAATTAATCTCATGTCAATATCGAAACAGTCAGTGGAGCACTTATTTTTACACTTACAAACAATGTCTTTGATTTCAGTTTCATTTACACCTGAGAGAAAGATACTATTTTGATTTCTTTCAATTAGTGATGGGTCTCCTTCATTTTCAGGGATTCCAGCGGCTAAGTCTGGTCCCACCTTTACAAAAAACTCATTAAATTTGTTTACCACATTTTGCCTATTGTAAATCTCGTCATTACCATCAATAAAATACTCTGGGTAGTTATCTGTGATATTGGCCTCATCTTTAAGTAAGCCATTAATCACATTCCATATTCCTTTGATGTTGTTTTTGTTTTGATTTAATAACTTTTCAAAATACAGTTTCCTACTCGCTCTTAGTATTGTAGTCAACCTATTTTTATATACCTTATATTTATTTTCAGCTTCCATGGTTTTTGCTTTCAAGAACTGTTTATACAAGTTATTATTTTTTTTACAAGCATTTTGTAATCCCCGGGTCATCCAGGGACATTTGACAGTTTTGTTCTTTCTCTTGTATCTTCTCACAGGGCAATTTTTATCATAAAGGTTACAAAATATATCAAGAAACATGTTATAAGCTTCATCAACATTCCTTTCATTTAGTACACCACTCCAGTTTTGACTTGACAAGTCACATTTCAATTCTTCAATACTATTTTCAGATAGCACTCTTTTGTAAACATCGTTCTGAGTGTTTGTGCTCTTCGTATTCTTATGGAGACATATAGTAAAAACAGGTAGATGGTCAGTTATATCACAGATCATTAGTCCACTTAATTTCAATAAATCAATATCATTTGTGAAGATATTATCAATGAGAGTAGCACTCTGTGAAGTGATTCTACTCGGCCTGGTGATTGCAGGAAATAAGCTCATACTATACATAAGGTTAATAAATTCATCCGTGTTTCTATGTCCATTGGGATTCATAAGATCTATGTTGAAATCTCCTGTAATATACATTGATTTATTTGTGTCCAAAAATATTTTTTCTATGTGCCCCATAAAATGTTCTATACTTGAACCTGGTGTTCTATATAGGCAGCTTACTACTATGTTTTTTCTCCTTCTGCAAATAAGCTCAATAGTAATACATTCAAATAGCCCATCAACTGCAACAGACATATTTTCAACAATTTTAAATTTTAAGTTCTTGTTTACATAAATAGCCACACCTCCTCCTGTTTTGTTTTTCCTATTTCTATAATTGAGTTCATAGCCTTCAAAGTAAAAATCTGTCCCTTTTTCATTGTTCATCCATGTTTCTGATAGTGTTATGAAAGGCACTCTAAATGTATCAAGATATTCCTTGATGCTACTAAAGTTTTTGTACATGCTCCTACTGTTGAAGTGTATAATCGATAAGTCATTCAATGTGTCCATAGAGTTATAATCATCATCAGAATAATATTTACAATTCACATTTACATTAGAAAAAAAAGTGCTGTCTGGATCCATGTCTTTCTCTGGGTCATAGTCCCCATGCTCTGTTGGATCAAATGTATTTAATCCCAACACATTGTCCAGGACTCTGTCTCTTAACTGCTGATGTTCAGTTGTGGTTTTGTTGTTGTGAGTCATAAGAATGAGTGGTTGTTACCTTGATGTCGCATCAATCAAACTTATCCAGATCTTCCAGAGTCTTGACCACAATAACTCTGGCTTCCTCTGGTGACCCGTTTAGCTTGATGTAGATTTTACAGTTCCGGACCCATGTGTGTTGGATTTTGTTTTGTTTTCTCATGAATCTGGCTCTTCGTGCGATTTCAGCATTCCTCCGTGTCAAGTGATCGTTCATAAAAACATTTGATCCTTTCAGCTTCCTTCCTTGCTTCAGCAGCTCAACTTTTTTCTTTCGGTTGACAAACCGCATGATCACCACTGGCATCGCGTTATCCCTTCTTCGAGGGAGAGGGTGACAAGCCTCTATGCCTTCCAAATCCAGAGAGATGCCCCTGGACTGGAGGAACGCTGCGACCTGTTGTTCAGCGGAGTCAGCCTCCTGCTCCTCTGCCTCTGACCCGCCGCTGGCCGCCACTGCCCTCGCGTATGACCTGGGTTTGATTTTCAGACCTGTGATGACAACATCATTCACCCTCGAGTACTGTTCCAAGTCATCAATTCTTCTTTCCAGGTCTGCAATCTTCTTGTCTTTTTCGGTGTTTAAAATTCTCAGCTGTTTCACCTCCTCCATCAGCTGTAGAATCCGGTTTTGCTGCTCCTTGATCACTGTGGTCTCCTCCGTCAGAGTAATGAGTGTTTTACGAATGTCTCCGACATCTTCATCAGTTTTTGTTTGCTTTTGTATAGCAGCCACAGCCTCCGTGAGTGAGTCTATTGACCTCCTCAACTCCTCCATGTCCTCCGTTGCGGCTTTTTTTCCTCTTGCCATCTCTTGTTGCGTGTGGCAGACTCGGCAGACTCGATAAGTTGTTAGCTTTAGCTAGCTGGTATGCTAAAACTTTGGGCACCGCTCCGCTCGCGCAGATACGAGCCTTCCCTTTTCAGCTTCCAGGTTCCAAACAGTTCCGTGGTATATACAAGTGTCAATATTCACACATAAATCCATCAAAAAAGTCCATAATCATGAGTTTATCCACTTGTTCGTGTGAGTCAACTGAGAGCACAGACCGCGCGTGCAACCACTCCCATGCGCAGACAGTGCCACCTTTGGTATGTGCCACCTTTGGTATAATAGAAAGGGCAGCATCTGTCTCTGTGGGAGTGAATAATCTGCAGCTGTGATAAAGAGGCTTCTTCTTCTTCTTCTTCTTCTTTCTGAGTGTTTTGTACTGATATTATTTAAGATAACATGCAATAAATTTAAGATAAAATAAAATACAATAAAATAAGAAAATCTGGGCTACAATTGCACTTGGTTCGGAGTATTTACAGATGTCTATATTATACATTAGCAGCGGAGAATATGAGAATATGAGCAGAATAAACATGTCTGTCACATCTGCGTAGAAACATCTGTCACTCATTACAGCGTCTTCCGAAGCCGACCACGGGGAAAAAACCTTCTCCAAAACTGTTTCTTTGGCTCGTCAAAAACGCTTTATCCTGAACCTGGCACCCAGTCTGTGTGTCGTAAACAAAAAGTACTGCTGAGTCTGTGTGTGTCAGGTCCGTTTAGAGCCAGGGTTTCCAACTTTCACATTGTTTTCATTCAGACTGAAAAGGAGGTTGTAGGAACAGTTCTTTTCAGCGCCGGGTTTTTGCGGCGAAACAAACCATGAGCTCAGACTTCAGGTATTTGCACCAAAGCTCTCTGTTGGTTTTATTAAGAAAGCAGCAGCAGCAGCAGCAGCAGCAGCAGCAGCAGTAACAGCAGCAGCAGCAGTAACAGCAGCAGCAGCAGTAACAGCAGCAGCAGCAGGAGCAGCAGCAGCAGCAGCAGCAGCAGCAGCAGGGCTTACCTCAGAGTTTCCATGAGACTTCTCGATGACTGCACCATGACTGTGGACTAAACTGGACTAAACTGGACTAAACTGGCCCACTTCCTGTTATTTTTGCACATCCGTTTTATACCAAATGTGTCTGGGTACGTTTCCTCTGGTTTCCCCACTAAAAACATTCACAATGCAAATAATAATAATATCGGTTTTCTATAGCGCTTCTTTGGACACGCAAAGTCTCTTCACAGCTCATCATTCTCTCTCCAAACACGGTGGTGATAAACTACTGTAGCCGCAGCTGCCCTGGGGCACACTGACAGACGCGAGGCAACCAGTCTGTGCCATCGGCCCCTCCCACCACCACCAACCATTCACACACACACCAGACTCATTCTAATGTGGGAGAAGTGTCTTGCCTAAGGACACAGCCACAGTTTACAGTCGCAACCGCCCCACTGTGGCACCTGCTGTTCCCAGAGGTCTCCCATCACAGCACTAACCAGGCCTGATAACAGTCGTTCAGAGATATTTTAATTTCTAAATTACTTTTCCAGCCTCTAAATCTTGTTATTGTTTTCATTTCCATGTCCCGCCCTCCACCGTTTCACCAATCAGAAAGTCTGTGATCCAGGCGCCAGAACTCACCGCGTGGAGCTAATCTCACTGGTAAAGTACCATGTGGAGCTAATCTCACTGGTAAAGTACCATGTGGCACAGAACTAAAAAAGGTCTCGTTATGATTCTCAAATCATTAACGACAAAACAAGGAATAAAACCAGGATTTCTATCTTTGTGAAAAAGGTGTTGGTTATAGATTTGTTGTTGACAAAACTCTTGTCTATTCAGCTGTTATGGTCCCAGCTGGATTCGTCTGCATATCTGGCAACCTGAGTCAGGGAGAGTGGGAGAGGCTGCAGTACCACTTTTGGCCACATGTTTACACACTGCTCCTTTAAATAAGTAAAAAGTATAGTTTGTCCCATAATCCCATAATACTCCGGAGCCTCCTGAAGCTAGCATAACTCAGCTAATGAGCGCTAATTATCTGAACGAATTAGACGTGGGTTTCTGGGGAGGGACACAGGGACGAATGGACAGGCACTAGCATCTGGAGGAGCCCGCCAGATGTTCTCTGCCAAAGTATGGATCAAAGAAGGTGCGTTATTCATAATAAATGTGCAGCGTGTGTGAAGGTAGCTCCCCGCAGATCACACTTCAAATACACTGTCGCTGTAGCAAAGGGACAAATGTGGCCTGGTTATGAGCACGATCCACTTAGCGCACATCTGGACCCGTCTCCCAGGATCGGACTTCAAAATCTGTTGCAAGTTTTATTCAGAGAGGTATAAAAGTGTGACGGTAAAAGAGGCCACCTGTACCTGTGATAGGAATTTAGTATGTTTCGAATTTTGGTGTGAGAACCCAGGCTGAATGCTATGTTAGTGTCAACTCTGAGGAGCACAGGGACTGGTCTGCAGGGACTCTGAGGAGCGCAGGGACTGGTCTGCAGGGACTCTGAGGAGCACAGGGACTGGCCTCCTGCTGGGACTCTGAGGAGCACAGGGACTGGCCTCCTGCTGGGACTCTGAGGAGCACAGGGACTGGTCTGCTGGGACTCTGAGGAGCACAGGGACTGGTCTGCAGGGACTCTGAGGAGCGCAGGGACTGCTCTGCTGGTACTCTGAGGAGCACAGTAGGGTTTAATATTTTTCCCGAAAATGAGCCATATCAAATCCCAGGAAAAGACGACGCCGTTCCCGGGAATTCCCGGGAAATAGCTGTTGTTTGTAGTTGTTGTTTTTAGCCCAAGTAATGTATGATATCACTCAAATATATAATCCAACAAAAGCTGCCGTCTCCACTAGTGTTTCACCAAGTGACTTGCTTGCTTTTCTAAAGTAGCCATAGCGTTTTCAGACGTTTTGTTGATGGGCTTTCTTCAGGAATTTCACTATTATGAGATTCTAAATGTCTGCACAATCCACTTGTCGACCAGTGACGTGCGGTGTGGTTTGGAGGCACTGACTTCAGCCCTGTCAGATGAACATATATCATATAAATCAACAGAACCTACAGAGCGGCTTATTCATAATTAGTTTGGCTACAGCAGAATGTTTTCCATGGCCCGCATTGTTTGCTCAAACAAAACGCAAAAGTTCGTAAAAGGCACATTTCCAATTGTGTTATGGGTCTTACCTTAGTTATTAATGAACAGCACAGACCAGTTCGGTTCAGACCAGTTTCATGTTTAAGTCCAGATAATAGTTTGAGCGCAGATATGTAATCCCCCATTTGGAAATCAGCCCAAAGAGTTTTAAAGCGTAAAAAAAAACGGGTGTCACCTCCATAAACTCCTCCGTGTGTTCGCTGCAGCCGGCTCTCGGGCGCATCCAATTTCTAATATCAACCTTCTTACCCTTCTCCTCTCTTTCTTATCATTCCTATTGTCATTGTAAGCAGAACATTACCCTAAATGCATTTTATATGATTTTAAAATGTGTTATCTGTATGTTAGCCAAACCTGTTGCTGCCCTTAGCAGATGGAAAAAAAAGAAAGGAGCTTTCTGATAGAATTGGACGTAGCCAAATTCTGGGCTCTCATGTGCCCCGTACCCTGAGGCCGGCCTCATTACAAGTCGTGGTTTAGCGCGATTAAGACCCATATTTGTTGTCAAAAACACAATTTAGGAGCCATCCTCTCAGCTGTAGACATGTTGATTGTAAATGAAATATGTTTCAACTTTGAACAACAATAAACGTGCTTTATAATAGGAGCGCACTGGATTTTTTTTTTAACTTTAATTTCCCGGTTCCCGTCATAACATTTCCCGGGAATCGGGAAATAGTTTTGATCAGATTTCCCGGGAATCCCGTGTCTCGGGATTAAACCCTAGAGCACAGGGACTGGCCTCCTGCTGTGGACTCTGAGGAGCACAGGGACTGGTCTTCTGCTGGGACTCTGAGGAGCACAGGGACTTGTCTGCTGGGACTCTGAGGAGCGCAGGGACTGGTCTGCTGGGACTCTGAGGAGCACAGGGACTGGTCTTCTGCTGGGACTCTGAGGAGCACAGGGACTGGTCTTCTGCTGGGACTCTGAGGAGCACAGGGACTGGTCTTCTGCTGGGACTCTGAGGAGCACAGGGACTGGTCTTCTGCTGGGACTCTGAGGAGCACAGGGACTGGTCTTCTGCTGGGACTCTGAGGAGCACAGGGACTGGTCTTCTGCTGGGACTCTGAGGAGCACAGGGACTGGTCTTCTGCTGGGACTCTGAGGAGCACAGGGACTGGTCTTCTGCTGGGACTCTGAGGAGCACAGGGACTGGTCTGCTGGAACTCTGAGGAGCACAGGGACTGGTCTGCTGGGACTCTGCGGAGCACAGGGACTGGTCTGCTGGGACTCTGAGGAGCGCAGGGACTGGTCTGCTGGGACTCTGAGGAGCACAGGGACTGGTCTTCTGCTGGGACTCTGAGGAGCACAGGGACTGGTCTTCTGCTGGGACTCTGAGGAGCACAGGGACTGGTCTTCTGCTGGGACTCTGAGGAGCACAGGGACTGGTCTGCTGGGACTCTGCGGAGCACAGGGACTGGTCTGCTGGGACTCTGAGGAGCGCAGGGACTGGTCTGCTGGGACTCTGAGGAGCACAGGGACTGGTCTGCTGGGACTCTGAGGAGCGCAGGGACTGGTCTGCTGGGACTCTGAGGAGCACAGGGACTGGTCTTCTGCTGGACTCTGAGGAGCACAGGGACTGGCCTCCACAAAAGATCAATGCGTTTGATCTTTTCCCTATAGCTAACTAAAATGCTAAAAACATGCAGCTGTTTGTGGAAGCTAGATCCGTCAGACCTCTGCAGCTAAGCAGGGCAGGGCCTGGTCAGTGCTGTGATGGGAGACCTCTGGGAACAGCAGGTGCCACAGTGGGGCGGTTGCGACTGTAAACTGTGGTTGTGTCCTTAGGCAAGACACTTCTCCCACATTAGAATGAGTCTGGTGTGTGTGTGAATGGTTGGTGGTGGTGGGAGGGGCCGAT